TTATGAAAAATCCTGCTTTTAAAAGCAGCTACCAAGATACCAAGAGAACTGTACCGCCAAAATAAGAGTGGAGGTTAAGGCATTCTTACTCTGCACTTTATTCTGATGTGATTAAGCTAGCGTGAACGTAGGTCACATCAATAGGATAGTTTTTACTTGACTTTGCAAACAACTATTCGAAAAAAAAATGTTTGATATTAACAACACACAGAACAACTTATACACAAATTGTTATTCATGACTATAGTCAAATCTGTACATAGACAAACAAGACAGCATATTTATAGTCCTATCAACAATTTTCGTTTTTTCTTCCCACGCCTACTGACGGGAAAGTACTGAAAGTGGGAAATGCAGAAATATGGTTCCCAAAGAGCCCCAGCCACACGTGAGGGTAACTCTCGATTCCCCATGCACGCACTTCTCGATATCGATGCTCCCATTGTCGAGAGATTCGTTCTGTAATTCGCTCCACCCGTGGACGTTTATTCGTCAGTTCACATAGGTTTATGGCTTCATGTGTACGTTTATGCAACTCGTCCGCAACTGGTGCTGGGAGCTTAGTGCCGATTGAAGAATGGAATAAAAAACCGCCAGTTTGGGAGGCGGTTATAGAGGTAGTCTAGGTTAGGTTAGGTTAGGTCTCTTGAGAGTGCATCAATAACGATCCTCCACTACAACTCTTTGGTCTATTGTGGCCCACACCTATTTGTATTTCCCCCAATAGCTCCGACCTCCCGAGGAAGTCGATTCACTTATTTGGAGAAATATCCTTCAAGTCTTTTGCTTGGAGTACTACGTTTCCAAGTATGTTGTACCTGATTTTGGCAATTGCAGGGCATCTGCACGATACATGCCTGACGGTTTCATCTCCCTCCATGCAGCGTTTGCACTCAGCCACTTCCGCCATGCCCAGCCTGCTCATGTGGTGACGCAATTTGCAATGACCAGTGTACAGTAATACTAGAGCTTTAAATCTATTCCTGTTCAGCCGTAGCAAAGAGTCTGTTACCTTCTTTGCCAAGATTGGTATAGTTGCCTTAGCTTGGGTTAACCCTGCTAATCCCTCAGAGTATTGAGGGATCTTTCTGTCCGTCTCTGCAGAAATTATTTGTTTAGCCGTACTGTATCCCAATCGGTGGCCCAGGGTTTGCCAGCCTCATTCTTTGCCAGAGTGTCAGCTGTCTCGTTTCCGTCTAGACCTGTGTGTTCTGGTATTCATATGGGACGGACCTCATTTCCCAGGTTCCTAGGGTGACAGATTTTTTAATCTTTAGCTTCGGCACGAAGATACCAGGTCCAACACCTATCTCGGTCTTGGAGCCATCTGTGTATGCACAGATGTCTTTCCTTATCAGGTTAACTTGCTGTTCCCACTCATTCCTGTGTGGAATTGTCACTGAGTAGAGTTTAGCATATCTTGTTATGGCATTATATCAGAAAGCATTCCCAGACTGGGGTGGTTTTGTAAGTCCACCAGCATGTCCGTGTCCTCCATAGTGATACTGCCCATTATACCATTTGCCAATATGATGTAGTCTATAAGATGTCCTTCTTGCATGGCCTTCCAGGTATATATATGCAAGGGGGATAAATTAAGAAGGACATCCATAGCTGCAGTTGGTGTGGTACGAAATGCATCAGTGATCAACACACAAGGTTCTCTCTGTATTGCGCTCAGTTTAGCTTGGACAGTTCTTTGTGCTGCCTTGCCCCACCAAGCTACAGATCCACAGGTTACCATAGGTCTAATGACCATATTATAAAGCCAAAACATTTGTTTAGGCTTAATTTCCCAGTTATTTCCACAGACCCTTCGGCAGTTCCATAGCGAGATCCTTGCCTTCTTAAGGACTCCTTCCAGATGCCAATTCCAGTTTAGTGTTTTATCTAAGATTATTCCTAGATATTTCGCCTCTTTTGCAAATGGTACATTTTCACCTTGGATTGTTGGAGGCTTAATCTCATCCAGTTTTCTCTTTCTGGTGAAAGGTACGATGACCATTTTTTGAGGGTTGATTTACATTCCTTCCCCTTCGCACCAATCACTTATTGCAGTTAACACCTCCTGGAGTGTTCCCGAGATCTGTTCCCAAGATTTCCCTCTGACTAGGACGACTAGATGGTCTGCATATTCCTGAACCTCGTCCTCCCATAGGCGAATAATGGCAATCAGATTATCTACCAGGAGCGACCACAAAAGGGGAGATAACACTCCTCCCTGTGGACACCCCCAGGCAGCTCTCCTTCCTGTACGGTCAATCCAATCCACAGTCTTGCTGATAACAGCACTCTGCATGCAGGATTTAAGAAAGACGGGCCTATCTCTGCCGGTGAGCTGGAGGAAAGATGAATAGCAACGACTTCCTCTCTGATAAGGGACCTGCCGGTTATCACCGCCTGGAGACGCAGCAATTTTGTAAAATGAAATGCTTCAAAATCACAGTACTATACCCTGACGAACAAGAGGCGTCCTAGCGCCCATCTGGTTCCGAGAGATGGACTCTCTCTACCATAAAGCAGTTCATTTCAGCTGGTTGAAGTCCAGATCACCGAGGACTTGATCTGGCACGAACACATCTCGTCAACAGCGGAGCTGCTGAGAAAAGGCTAGGCTTTTCACTTAGGGCTGAGAAGTACTTTCTTTACGCTACTCCAGCCTTCCATTTTGTAGTTGTAGAAGTGGTGGGAAGGCGAAGCCAGGCCATTAGGTCACCTTTGGCTTTTTCACGCCTCTCTTCACCCATAAAAGGGGTAAATGTCTATTCAGTCTGAAGTGATTGGTGAGAACCCCCACCAAAAGGTGGGTGAATTTCTACCTCTGTACAGTAGGCAGCGCGGTAGACGTTTGTCGGGGCCTGCTACGAACCTCTTGGCCTGCCTTCAGTAATATGTCTCTTGCCACGCTTTTTTCAGGCCCCAGCCTAGCCTGGCGATCAGCTTCATCTTTGCTCGGCACTCCGCTGAGTCCGGGGATGACGTTGCCTTCGGAAATACCACTTGCCTTCAGGGCTACTTGACTGTCGATGAATATGCTACGATCCATGCACTGCTGAATTTCCTCTGGGTATGCCATCGTCAAGATGGTAAATATCTCTACCTGGAGGATCGTTGTGCAGGTTCCAAGCGCAAGGCTTTTTTTGCATGCATTTGCCTTCCAAGTATATTCCCATCCCATTGGATACCGTTTGCTTGGGAAAAGACCCGTCGGTGAAGTATGCGAAACACTGAAGAGGGAATGTAATTTCTCCGTTCACCCATTCTTCCCTCGGAAGGATGATGAGTGAATATTCTAAGTCTGACCCTATGGTGTTTTTGGCCTTTTCCACTTTTACCGAAGATATAAGGAGATCATGCTTCATCACGCATTGCCCACATTCCCTCAACGCGCATCCTTAGATATGCCGGCATTACCTCCAACTTTAAACAGAAGTCCAGTGGCGGCAGTTCCAGGGTAACGTTAAGGGCTGCTGAAGGGGTTGTCCTCATTGCGCCGCCAGTCTGTGGATTATTATGGCGAGCTTGCGGGTAACCGAGATCTGTTCGACACGTATCCACCTAACCACGCACCCATACTGCCACATGGTCGCTATCAACTTCTTGTAGATATAGTCGACATGCTGCTTCCGAGGCAACTTACAATCCAACACTACGCCCTTAACTGAGGGTTAGTTGTATACTATTTACGGTCGGTGGATTTAGGTCATGAGGCGGCTTTTCCGCTAACCGAATTAACAGTTTCTTTAGGCTCCTTATAGCAGCCGCTCTGGCATTTCGGCTTCTGCGTGTGCGGCTGCTTCGGTCCGTCTGAGCAACGAGTTCACTGAAGGTGATCTTCCTGCTTTTAAACACTCCGCGTTGGAGAATTTTGACAACCGCCTCTAAAACCGATGGTGGACTTTCATCCGACCGGCACTAAACTCGCTGCACCATCTTCCGACTTGACGTATGGACATACACCTGTCGTCATGAATCTCTGCCAACTGACAATTAATATCCATCTGTGGCACTAGGCAGGATCAACAATATAAAGCTCCTGAACCAAGAATGAGCGGTGAAGCGAAGCGCGGACGGGGGAATCAAGAGGGGGGCTGGATATCCCCTTGCATCTGCGTGTGGGAACCTTATTTCTGGGCTTACGCGCATTGAGTTCTCGTGTCGCCAACAACTAGTATATACGTTACTACGAGCATTTTTTTTTTGCAGTGCATCAACTCAACGGGTGTTGATTTCCCAACATCAGTCAGTTACCATACTTTGATTGAGGACATCATACAATAAAGAGGAATTTTGAGCATGTATGTGGTTTGATTCAGCCAGGTAAATATGGGCTATTATCAGATTGAAAACCGCATGATATTCCAGAATTTACAGAATTTTATTTCACAATCAAATCTAATAGATTCTTGAATAATTATTAAACCATATAAATAGACTTTTTCAATAATAACAATTTGACTGATTACCTCAACTTCACAAACAACAATGGCTTTTAAAACCTCTTATTCTAGATATTACTATATACTCGTATATATACACAGGTATATAACTTGAGACATGGTCATTGTCGTTTAGACCAGTTAGGTGAAAAATTAAAGCTTCCACCTTTTGTTGAGTACTTCGACAAAATTTGAGCAAAGAGGACTCTCTATACTTTATTAATCTCTCTAGCTTTCAATGGTCTTTGCCGTCATCATCAGGAGAGTAGTATGTGAGGATGTTGCTAAATGTTGTTTACGTTTAGGTTGAGGGAAACACCCAGTAACTTGGTACATGGTACAATCATCAAAATTAATACATACTACACACAGCTGTATGTCAAGAACAAATTAAAATGGAATTAAGAATATTTAACAGGTTGACTGCCATACATGGACGAGAAAAAATACCCCAGGCGCCAAGTACATAAAGATGATAAAAGTGCCGTTTTAGAAAAAAAATTATAAATTTTTGTAAAAAATTCATCAAAATAGTATAAATTTTCAAAAAAAAAACATCATCGGTCGTATACGCCCGCCGGGGCACAGGCGGCATATTTATATCATTGCTGCCAGCGGTCGTCTTGATGGCGGTCGTATTATTCGAGTCGTAACTTGTCAGGCTGAGAAATATCAGTTTTGTTTTGATCGCTTTTGGTTGCGCACGTGTAACGATGAGTAGTCGAAGTAGAAAAATTGTTGAACTAGCTTTAAAAGATGGCCAAACGTCAGGTAATAACTATTATTCATACTAAAATTGATATTTTCAGATAGATTTGTTTATTGTTTTCAGACGAATTTGATCCATTTTGTTCAATTGACTCTGATCTTGACCCCACGTTTTTGCCATCTAGTGATGAAGAAATATTATCTAGTTCAGATTTCTCAGAATCAGAAAGTTCCGTACAAAAGAAAACTAATTCTAAACGCAAATTGCAACCCAGTAAGACTGTCTTAAAGAAATTGAACCCAGGAAAAATTAAGTTTCTGGATCAACCATGCTGTTCAAAGTCACTTTCAACTGATGTTTCATACAAAGAAATAGAAGCCGCTAACGCCACAACCATACCATGTGAACAGTATGGTATGGTATGGTTCAAAAACCAAAGGCAGTAATTGAATATAACGACGGAAAATCATCGATTGAGCTACAATTCTCCCTTGAGGAAATCTCTCAAATGGTACCGTAAACTTGCTATAGAATTTATTTTGGGGACAGCGCTCGTAAATTCTCATATAGTATACAATCAGCTTGCTGATAAAAAAATGAAAATTACAGAGTTTCGAGAAGCAATAGTGAGATAGATCCTTTTTGACTTATGAAGAAACCGATCATGAAAATGAAACAATGCAAACATTACCGAAGAAATCAGCACACATTCATAAGTTGCTTAAAAAACAAGGGCATTTCGACAAAGTTAGGAAGTATTGTAAAGGTTGCTATGCAAAAAAGCTTCGAGGAGAAATAACCAAAAATTTCGTAAAAAAGGTTGTAACATATTGTAGTACATGCGAAGGCCAGCCTCATTTGTGTTTGGAATGTTATAATATGCATTCAAAGTAGTTATATTATATGTTTTTGTAGTGTACTACACTTTTTTCTTGATGTAGTTGTTTCAATTTGTCAATTAAAAATAAATTAAAATGAAAAATGCGGTTTTTGTCAATAAATTCTTCATAATCCCAAAACTCGCAGTTATATGCGAGCCTTGTAAGCCACAGCGGTCGTATACCGTATCTAAAGACATTCTAACTACGACCGCTGGCAGGTAATGATCGAACATATTATCGGGTGCATAGCGGTCGTATACGACCGCCATGGCATATTGGCAAATCTACCAGGCGGTCGTATACGACCGCCATGGCAGTCAACCTGTTAAAACGGAAGTTAAAAATTACATGGTGAACCACCTGATGATTGCACAAAAGAACAATTTCAGCAACAGTCTCGCCGACTTACGACAGACGATGAAGGCATATACCTTCGAAAGCTCGAGTTTAAGTTATAAGAGTGTGCTTATGCAATACTTTGCCTTCTACCCAAAGAAATTCAAGGATATACGTAGTCGTGCCATAAGTTCTGTCCCATGATAATCTCATGATAAAAATGAAACAAGATAAGATATATTTATATGAAAGATATTATTTATTCGACAACATTTTTAGAATTCATAATCAAACAGTTTTATTCAAAATGTCCCCCCTTGGCCTTCACACACTGCTTCAATCTCGCGGGCCACTCATCTATCACTGCACGCACAGCTTCCAAAGGAATAGCTGCCGCTGATCGGATCAAATCCGCTTTCAGGGACTCGATATTACGGTGGGCTTTGGAGCAGGCCAACTGCTCTAGCAGGTCCCACAACTTGTAGTCTAAAGGATTGAGGTCCGGACTCCCTGAGGGCCAATCTTCCGCAGCAATGAACTCTGGCACATTGCTTTCCAGCCAGCGCTGCGTACTCTTAGCCTTGTGAGCGGGGGCGGAATCCTGCTGGTAGACCCAGTGTTGGTTGGCAAACAATGTACTACTTAAAGGCTTGACGATAGGATCCAGTATGTCGCTCTGATAGTTTGCCGCTTTTGTTTTCACGCCCTGTTTACAGAAATGGAGCTGAGTGACCCCTTCGTAGGACACCCCCCACCAAACCATGACTGACGCAGGGTGGTGGCCTCTCTCAACTCTCGGAATGATCTCCGAAGCTTCCTGTGAACTCCTTGCATACACTTTGTCATTTTGTCGGTTGAATTTTTCTTCTATGGTGAAGATTTTCTCATCCGTGAACAAAATCTTTCGGAATCCCCCAGCTGCATACCTCTCCAAGAGCTTCTTGGATCTTGTCGCCCTGATGTGTCGCAAGGTGGCCGTAAGTCGCTGGCCCGTACGTCTCCGGTAAGCCCCTAGCCCTAGGTCTTGTTTAATGATGCGCGACATCGTCCGGACGGGAATCTTCATTTGCCTGGATAGGATCTTCTGCTTCCGGAGTGGATTCCTTTGAATCCTGGCTTTTACGGCTTTGATGGCTGCTGGAGTCCTTACTTGACGAGGTCTTCCGCTTCTTGGCCTGTCATCAACAGAGGACGTCTCATTGTACCGCTGAATGGTCCTAGACACAAATTTACGCGATATTTGAAGGCCGCGTAAGAGTTCAAAAATCTGACTAGCACTGTGATTACACTTATGTAAAGCTATCACTGCAATACGGTTCTCTGCCTTGCCCCACTCCATCGTTATGCTTCGAGAGATCAATACAAACTGAGGTATATGTAATTACCCGAAAAGCGCTTAATCAACTGACACCACAATGTAAACAATCGGACAGGTATTAACAGGTCTACACTTGTTTGAAAACGAGGGACAGAACTTATGGCATGACTACGTATATATATAGAGAGAGAGAGAAAATAATCTTGCGGAGAAAGGTATATAACAAAAAGTAGGAAAATAATGGGCAAAATCCGCAAAAAGGATGAAAGTGGATTCGAGCAAAAAAAGTGAAATCGCTCGGGTTACCTATCCTAATTTCTGCTCGAATCCACTTTCATCCTTTTTGCGGGTTTTGCCCAATATTTTCCCACTTTTTGTTATATATATATATATATATACAATAGATGAATACAATTGCATCGATGAAGGCAGCAAGTCTCTGAGGTTATTTCTAGACACAAGTAAAGCTTTTGATCTAGTCGATCACGAGTTATTGTTACAAAAGCTTGAATACTATCGTATTAGAAGACTGCCGCTTCATTGGTTCAAAAGCTACTTGGCCAAAAAACAACTAGACGATAGGCAGTCCAGTCTACTTAGCTACACATTCGGTGTAGCACAAGGATCAATATTGGGTCCGCTGCTTAAATCATTTTTGTGAGAGATTTCAATAGCACTTGCCATTTTATGTATGCCGATGTCACATCCATTCCCATCAAATCTCCCACTGGCTCTGGTCTGATAAGACCTGCCAGTGATGAGTGACTGGTTCAGGGTTAATGGTCTCGTATTGAACAGGGATAAATCACAGTTTTTGCGTTTTTCCTGAACGACAGACTATGATATGATATGATAATATCGAGGATGAGTCAAATAACTGAATGATGTAAAGTTCCTTGGCATACATTTAACAAATAACTGTAAATGGGAACTTGTTTATTGTATAAGCCAGCTGAAATCTATTTTGAATAGTTCCGTGATCATTATGTATTATTACTCTTACCTTTAGAGCACCATTTGAACCATAGGTATTGGTCAGAAAACTTCAATCAATCTTTGTAAAATGTTTAATCGACAAAAGCAATCACCGTAAGGAATGGTGAGATAAAGATTCTTCAGGATGTGGTATCTTGCATAGTTGTTCTATTCAGTCTATATAATATTTTTGTATGAAATTAACTATTTTTTATATAAGTATTTACTTCACCCCAGCCGGTGCGGGCAAAATTGGTTGCTTCCATGTTTATTTGTTTTTTGTTGGCTATATATTCGATAGTTACAAGTAACCATATATTTTATTGTATATTTTTTGAAAACATTGCTGTAATAATAGTAGAATTTGTAAGATGCTCACTTCGTCCGGGTATTCCCCAGCGTTTTCGGAATGGCGCCTTCGCTTTACGCCGAACAGGTTAGCCGTTCGATATTATGGTGCAAAACAATGTGGCTTCTTCAACGGCTTTTGTGTTTCAAATGATTTTAGGATGTAACCAAAAAATTGGGGGGGGGAGAATAAAGTGAACTTTTAAAAAATCTCAACCTTTTCGGTGTTTTCAATGTGCTGATCACTGTAGGGATGTTGGTGATCATTTACTAACAATACAATAACTTCATCAGACGGCTTAGTTCAGGATATTTCTGCAGCCTCAATAGAAGTTGAAATATGCTTACAGAAGTTACAAAAGAACTGGAAGATTAAGAAACGCATTAGTCGTTATATATTTGGTTTCTCTTTAATTAAGGATATTTGCTTTGTTTACTACCAAGTGTTTTACATATTATACGACTATCATTAAACAGCCGTTTTTTACAATATTGTTGTCAATCATCAGGAAAGGTCTCATTTTATTGGAAACATTGACGATGCACTCTTCACAGCAAAACATGTGAGTCACAGGAGCTAGTATATCTTAGACTGTCTGCCAAACCATTCCATTGAAAATAAAAGCAAATTCAAAATTGAGCCAAAGCAATTGACACTGTTTGAAAATAGACGTGAAATACCGCAACAGTTTCAATTAAAAACTAATGAAATTTTGAGTGCCATATTTTATGATTTTCACTATTATGTTTATATATTAGGTTCATATACTCGTATGTGTCTAACACATGTAACGCGATTGTTATAATTAGGCTTTCCTTTGACGCACCCGAATGAAAAATTAAGTACAGTTCGCCGTGCTGCATCCAACAATTTATGCATAGCGGACGCAAAAGTTAGTTCAAGCTTAGCGCTATAGGAATAGGGAATAAAGAAGAATGCGAGAGTGTACAGATAACCTATTCACTAACTGCAGTTTTCAGCCCTGTACGTATCGACTGACAATTGGCAGGTGATGAAAGGAAGTAGTGGGTACGGACTTAAAACCTCAAAAATGCTTAGGGCATTGAAAGGGCTCAGCCCGTATGACATCTCTGACCATCCACAACAATACAACTCTCATATTTGCTTATGGCTTTGATAATAATAGTCCTTGTTGACGTCCCTGAAGTTAGCTACAGATTCAGATTCGAATATGATGAAATTACAGTCGACCAGTTCCGTGCCCACTGAACACGCGTGTTACATGAATATCACTTTTATGTAAACGGAATACCCTACAGTTTACATATTTTCTGTTATATTGATATTATACAGGGTTATCCAAATTAAGTGTCCACCATTGGTAACTTTGTTATTAGTAAAAATACAAAGTTGTTTAAATTAGCAAACTAGTAGCATTTTTAACGCTGGTAAAAATGAGAAATAAAAAAAAACAATTGAGAGTCGTTATTTTGATTTTTTTCAGTAAAATAACATTTTTTTAAATGGAAACCCCTGTATATTATATTTTTTTCTGTTAAAGCATCAAATTTTAAACAAAAAAGTTCATAATGACTTTTCCGCTAAAGTCAAAAATAAAGTCAAAATAACGATAAATATTTTTAATTATTTGCAGTATTATAATATTAAGACGGCTATGAACACAACATGGCGTTCGCGATTTGACAGCATTAAGATAAGCGACAAATTGTTAAACTGGACATACTCGCAACTAGAAGGCTTTGGAAAACAATGATAAAATCAAATAATGTCAAACATTAGTGTAAATACTTGTTTATAAGCTTTATTGTGTCATTAATTTAAAGAAAAATGTTCTCCCATGAAGAAAAGTGTGATATGTTAGAATGCTATTTAGTGTGCAGAAAATCCTCCTTGAGAGCAAGAGAATACTACAGTGAATTATATCCCGCTCGCATTCAACCGTATGAACGATATTTTCTGAGACTTTATCGAAAATTTAGGGGCAACGAAAATGTTTTTGCTAAAACAAGGGCAAAAAAGATTTCATAATAAGCGAGGCCACGGAAATTGCAGTTATTGGATATTTTGAAGCTTATCGTGAGAATTCAATAGCAGATATTCTCAAGGACTCTAAGTTATGGTACTGTTCAAAGGATTTTAAAAAAATACAAATTTATTCCGTATAAGTACCGACCAGTTCAAACGCTTTTGGCAGGGGATCCAGAGAGAAGACTTGTTTTTTGCCATTGGTATCTTAGCTTCTGTCGCCAAAATGTAAATAACTTTCGTTAC